CAAAACATTAAAACATAAAACATTTTGTATGGCTTGGGTGCGAGGGTTTCCCTTTTCTGACTCCTCAGCTGCTACCTCCAGGGGTCCTTTGTCTTCAGCCACCTGTCCTCAAAGGCCCGTCTTGCTTCAACTCTCATTACCATCTTCAGCATAAGAATGGTTAGTGTAGAGATGCCAGCTTTCGGTACCCAAGCTTACTCTGAATTTTCCCTAACTCCTGAGGAGGAAGAACACTGCAAGTGTCAAGTTAATGTTCAATCTGGGAGAGGCAAATACCAGCTAATTCCAGTAACCACTGAACAAGTTCATCCTGTTTTTCTCCTTCCCTGCTCTTGGTCAAAGGATGGCATGCAGGAGAAAGATCCTTGGGTTGTCCAAAGGGGCATCCTTCTAATCTTCATTGAGGGTTACATTGCTAAATTGCTTCTTTTCAGGTACTTCTACTATCCAGGGCAACATAGGGCAGGACAAAGCTCTTCAGGATTTGCTTTAAAATGTTAATCACCCCATGGGTTATTGCGCAAGATAGACTAAGCAAGGTTCAAACATTTTCCTATGCATAATAGTCCACCTGATGGAAACTAACTCTGGAGAAGGCCTTAAGAAGAAAAAGCCTCTTTCTGTTCAATGCTCCAAATTACCTGGCACAATGGCCTAGCTTACCATTGCATAACGATCTAACTGCTATGCTTGAAGCACGCTTCATGTACACAGGCTGGAATTCTTCCCTGCAGGGTCTTGCTCACAAGGAGTAGAGCAGAAACTCAATCAAAAATGTTAGTTTTGACCTACAAAGCCTTACATGACTTGGGACCACAATGAGTGATAGAGCACATCTTCCATTTTGAACCTACACATACACTATATCAACATCTGAGGTCGTCCTTCAAGTGCCTCCTCTAGGGAGGCTTAGAGAGGGCCTTCTTGGCGTTGGCACCCCAGTTGCAGACTGATCTCTCCAGCGTGATCTACCTGGTGCTAACAGCATCATTGTTTGATCCCAGGTTAAGACTGTCCTCTATACCCAGAGATCAGCATATGATGGGATGTTAATATTAGTTATTTTATCAAGTCTCAGTATATCAGTGCAACTGTTTTTAACTACTTAACACATTTTTAAACAGCAAAAAAGTCACATGGAGTAGGAAACATGCACTTGTGTCTTTAAAGGCTAATGCCTCAGCAGCTCTGCACAACATTAGGTTTTCTGCCTGAAATTCTTGAAAATACAGGTTCAAATTGTGCTTCCTTATATTCCTGTAGAGAGAATTTGGTTCCAAGCATGCATCTGTTGAGAGTGCTCAGGCAGATCACTGTACTTTTCAAAGTTCAGAAGACATAGCTGACAATGTGTGTTCACCCAGGAAGAATCCTGAAATCGTAGAATTATAGGGCAGAATCTTAGATATGTTGGAACATAAGGACTGGAGCATTTAATGCAGATATGTGAAGATTACATTTCATTTGACGTGGGGCTGGAAATGGAAACAGATGAAATGGAGAATGGAATTTAGCTAATGTAGGGAGGTGGAATGTAGGAGTGGAAGACTGAAAGCAACAGGGGCAGGAAGGATGGAAAGTCACATAATCCTATGGAATTCAGCTCCTTGAACATGGGAGGTGGGATGGAATGTAGACAAGGGGTGTGACAAACATGAAATGATGGTATTTCTTTCAGTTGGGAAGAGAATAGATGAATCCATGACAGGTTAGAGCATGGGTGAGGGGATGAGAAATATGTTTTAAACCACTTGGGGGATAGATACATAGGCATAAAGCAAGAGTGTGGGTAGAACAACAGATGTCACAGCAATTTCTCTTTAATAATCCATATACATCCATATGTGAACTACCTTCTGATCAGGACATATTCAGAAAGCAGCTGTTGATTTTCTGGTTTCAAAACCTGCTGGCTTCTATTGTCAATAAGCAGCTAAAGAAATGCCTGAGACTGGTGGTTTTTGAAAGAGAAAAGAAATCATGAAGGTTCACAGATGAGTTCTTGGGCCCAACATATTGCACCCTCATAATAATTGCCAGCAAGCAGCATAGTACAGACTGAGTGTGGAAGCAAAACAAAAACTCTGGGGGTTGTTGAAGGTGCATAAGATTGGTGTGTGTGTGGGAGAGGGAGAGGGAGAGGGGGAGGGAGGAAGAGACTAAGAATGTGCTGCTGTAAAGTGCCCACAGCTATTCTACATTACAGATATAAAATTAATAGTAATAATAATGGCTGTTTTGAGGGCTTCTCTGTTAACTTACTGAGGCGTCTTCCATTTTTCTTGTGAAAAGAATGATGCATTTTTAACATGGGTGCATCCCGTCTCCTGGAGCTGGAATTTCTCTGCCTTTCTATTTATTCATTTTAATCAGTCACAAGGTGGGGCTGTGGTAAACCTGCAAAATAGCAGGCATGGCAAACCTGAAGATTTGTGACTTTTCATGAGACTTTTTTCTGGTTTGTTGAGATTTGAAATGTAGTAGCTGACTCTCCCCACTCAAACTCTTCTTGCTGGCCAAAAGTGGATGGAAAACATGGGAGAGGTTTGGTGAAAAGCCCTCAGAGAACATGATATCCCACACTCAGGAGGGGAGTATGCGGTGCATGTGAGTTGTCATTGAACCATGGGTTATTGTTGAAATGCAGCTTATTGTGTTGCCTGAACCCAGCTATGGTAACAAGCCATGGTTTGTTAATGAACAACCTATGAAAGGAACTCATGCTTTGTTGCTGGGTTATGAATAGTGAGTTGTTTATCACGGATAATTATTTTGGCTATGTTCAGACAACATGATTACTCACAGTTCAGTAACAACCCACACTCGGTCAGTGAGTGCAGGCTATCATGTTGGCTAAACCCACTTCATGAGGGAAATTGTCACCATAAGTCCGGGAGAAGCAAACACCTAAGCAGAGTCAGTTTAGGGTGCTACCTTGTGCCTGTAGGGGCTCATAGGCATCCTATGCAGAGCAGAGGAGTCAGAGAGAGTTTAGTTGCACATTCATCTTACTCTGCAAAGTGCTCAGATGGTTGATTTTGTCTAAGTCAGAAGGACACATTTTATCTTGGCAGCTCCAGGCCTCTTCCCTCCAAACCCCCTAGAATAGCTGCCAAAGGCTTTCTCCAAGGTCATTCGTATAACCTTCTAGAAGCAGCTGCCAAAACTCTTTCTGCACCAGCTGTGATGGGGGAAGGAGGAGCCAAGCGATGTGGGTAAGGGACAGTCCAGCCTCATAGGCAGGAATCCAAGAAATGCAGGGGCCATAAGACTCCCCTGTTAGCACTCCCTAATTGTTGTCAGAATATATGGTGGAACAGACTATTTTGGCCCCTTCAACTCTAGCTCTCCCCTAGTATTTCTGTGTCTCACTCACGTGAAAGCTACTTGAGACAACTCCACCACCCCATGTGCTGCTTTCATGATTCCACCCTCCTTATTATAGCAATTTTTCAGGCCAGTTTGATGACATTTTTCTGTTTATTAGCTGTCACTCTGGTACATTTTACTACATGGATAAGCAATGTACCAGCCTAACTCTTGATCTGTGGGAATAGTTTCAGCCTGTGGAACCAGACTGGCAACAATGTTGTTTTCTCTTTCCTGAACAGGTAGGATGGTGGGTCGTTTAACCTGGGGGAAGGGATGCTACTTGCCATCTTGCATGCAAACAGCAACTCGGCTATAAATAACAGCACAGAAGAAGCTGCAGGCAAACCCACGAAATACGCAGTGCAAGTAACCATCTGCACATACAGTACATACACTTCCCTGAGAGAGACAAAAGGCGGGACTCCATGACCCAACCCCCTTGCCTGAATCCGCCACTCTGGCCATGGACACGCTAGCAGGGAGTGCGGGGGATGCAGCACAGTGTGCTTTTCCATGTGCACACAAGGAGGCAATTCCTTTTAAAAGAAGTAACGGAGCAGCCTTGCCTTGGAAATAAAATGCCACCATGGATCAGTCTTTTGCTGCTCGTGGTCAAGGCGCTTGACATGAAAATCGGTCTTCTGCTGTGAGCATCATCTGTTCATTGAAAGCGTGCCATATCCGTGAAGCTACAAAGGAAAGATTAAACCGGGTGGGTTTTTTCACTTGCCCCTTCACACATGGTACCAGCTTCATATTCTGTCAGCTTCATAATGTCAATGCTGTATTCTGACTGTCCAACTGCAAGTTCAGCCGATGGAAGGATGTTCCTTTAATCCAGAGAGAATGACTTTCTAGAATAAAATTGTTACCCACCCACAATGTGATCTTTTCGGTACCTTTGGGATTAGGACCAGTCCTTTGCAGATGTTGCATCTCTGCCAAAGTTATGTTTAATGAAACATTAATGTTCAAATGAATTATAATAATAAATCGGTATTGTCAGACTTTGACTGACAGTTCAACAAATTTCCTGCACTCACGTCTCTTGGGCTAAATGAAATGCCCCCTGTAACTAGGTTGAAACTCAGCATTACCCTTTGTCTAATTTGCCCCATGTGGACTTTCAGAGTCCATTGCATGTGGGCTGCTGCCCCGGACAGAGATCTCATCTTGGCAAGTGTGCCTTATTTGCAAAAATGAGCCTGCTGCTTGAGTCCCTCAACTATTTTGCATTTGCCTGCAGTGGCGCACACGCACATGCAACCCTGGGAGCAGAAGAAGGGGTGTTTGGTGGGATATGGAAAGGAACAGGTGGAGCCCCTCACTCAGCAGGGATCACTGGCTATAATGTGTGCTGGAATGTTATGGGGATTCTCTGGTGACAGGCAAACAATGTAGAGCCTCTGCCAATCTCTGCCTGACTGTACGAGCAGGATATTTCTCTACGAGTTCTTCACTGCTGGCCAGACAAGCTTCTGCTTGCCAGTTGCTTGGGACTGACAGCCCCTGGGTGGGATTAAGAATCACCACCCTCTTCCTTTCCACGCAGTCTTTGCCATTAGCTCCTGGAAGCTCCAATCTCTAGCAGCACCTCCTGGTTCAGAGCAGCACACAACTCTTTCGCCATGGCCATAGACAAGGTAAAAGGGTTCTGGACTGATGCCGAGGTGGACCGGCGCATCGTCACAGGCTTACTTTGTGGTTCGGTCACTGCCATCTTGGTGCTAAGATGGATGAAGCAAAGACAGGTCCAGAAGAAACTCGAGGAGGCCAAGAGGAGACGGGAGCTTGGCTTTCAACGGATGGAGAAGGCAGCGAGGCAGTTCCAACAGCAAGTAAGGCTCTCTTGCAGATTGCGTGCCACCATAAAGGAGGCAGCTTTTCTTCTTTGTTGTCTTCTTCTTTAGCTGTAGCAACAGCTGAGGCATGTTCATGTCAGACGTTTAGTGGGTCAATCCTGCAGTCTCTGCAATATGTTCTCTGTATTCTGCCTACAGCATTTCTCCCTGCACCTGCCCTTCAAGGCGTTAGCATTGTGAAATACTGCCGTTCTTTCCAGGTGATGACTGTAGACCCCGTTCCCCAAACATGGCCTTAACTTTTTAAAAAGCCTTTGAGGGCACTGCTTTGCTACAAATCTAGTAGGGCAGTACAATTTGTATCATCTAAGCCAAGATTATTTTGGAAGATTCCTCCTTTGCAGCTTTGCAGCCTAGTAACCAGCTTTAGGTGCTTGTTGACTTTGAGGCATACTTTGTGTCATGGGAAGAAAGAAAGTATAAAGTTGCTTTCTTCCCTTCAGCTGCATTTCACTGGCAATCTGAAGGCAGCTGTCTCTGCCCAAGGGATCAGCTGGCTAGTGACAAATCATCAGGGTTCAGAGATGAGATATCTGAGCTTACACTTCTCTGGCAATGCTGCAGTTTGATGCTGGATCTGGTCATCTGCATGAAAGGCCCAACCCCTCCATCTTTTCTCTTTCTTGAGTGCAGCATGCTCCCAGCAAGAACTTTCAATATCCGTTGCTCAGCTTGCCAGGCTTTGAGAGAACAGCCAGAGCCCTTCCAGGTGCTGCAAGAACTCAATTCTTCCATCCTCTAGAGTCCAGTGTAAACAAGATCCTAATTCTTGCTGAAGAATGCAGAAACAATTACTCCCTGGAAACAGTCTTTGTGGTATAGAATTGTTTCAGAAGGCAGGGCACTTCAGTGTATGGCAGAATAGGGATGAGTGTGTTTGGGGAAAGAGTGTGCAATGTGCAATTGACTGAGACGTCCACACTGCACACCTTGAAGTTTAACTGAATCTCCATCTCCATCTTTAAATCTCAAGTGTTCTTGTTTGAGGGCATCTGGTCAAAGTCATCCAGTGAGAACCATGGCTGAGTGGGGGGTAGAGCTTGCACCCCCCAGGTCCCAGCCCAACACTCCAACCACCTGGCCACACTGGCTCTCATAAACAGTTAAATATAAAATGGTTATATCAGCTTTCGGAAACATGCACACAGATCAGATGGTGAAAGCAAATATAGCCAGGGATTCATGAGTCGTGCAAACTGGGCATTTTCAGTGTTCAGGGCAAATGCTTGAAGTATAATACAAAAGTAGTGGGGGCTGGCTGGCTGGCTTGCATTGAAAATCCAATCTGATCATGGGGAAAGCCAAGCACTGCCCTGCTTAGGACGGCTACTTATGCAGTGGCAGAAAAAAGGACAAAATTTTGCAGAAAAAATGGAAGCTGCTATTTTAAATGCCTAAATACAAGTTAGAAACAATATGTCTAATTTAAATAGAAGTAAAGTGCAGCATTTGTAATGGGAAAGTTTGGGACAGGAGCATATGTGTCTGTCCAGGTGCTAAGTGCTGCTGGACTCAAGGCTCCTTCCTGCTCTCCTTTCTTAGGGCTTTAAAAGTCTTTCATCCTGACTTACTGAGCAGCTCTGCAAGGACTCTTCTCTGTGAAGAAGGACAACCTTGGCCGCCTTCCTGGCAGCCCCCTCGAAATGCAGCTTATTCCCCAACTTTGCCACTCCCCAACCATCTCTGCCAGTATTCTCACCTTTCCAAAGGAAAAAAAAATCTTACCTTGTTAAGGTGGAAGGGAAAGCTGTAATGGAGGGCTCCCCTGAGCAAAAGAGAGGCTGCAAACTACGGAGGAGGCACCTGTGATGACCAAAGATCTCGGAGCCAGGCCTCTCCTGTATCTCCTGCTTTTTACACCCATTTTCCCTGCTTGAGAAGGGATGTGTGTATTTTGGGACTGGCAGGGATGACAGAGCAGTTAGTTGGGGTGTAATGTGAGCCTCATTTCAAGTCAGTTCCAACTCAAATTAGACTGTACCTGTCTTGAAGCAGGGTAGTTTGCCTGCTCTTTGAGCTGTGTGCTTTAAAAAATTTCTTCCACACCTGAACACCACCTTACAGAGCAGCCTTTCCCAACCTGGTGCCCTCCAGCAAGCATGGTTAATGGTCCAGAATGCTGGGCTTTGTAATCCAAAGCCTCTGATGGGCATATTAGGTTGGGGAAGGTTGCTGTAGGCTGATCCAGAAACTGTGTTTTCTCTGAAGAGAGAAGGTGTAGGAGGCTGGAAATCAGAGATGGCCGTATCTGTGCAGTATGTTAAAAACATATTCATACATCAACGGGAAGCTTTTTATGGAACATACATGCCAGTATCACTTCATTATTTCTCACATCTTTACAGAGACTATTATAGTGACTACTGCACTTACAGCAGCCCAACCTTGAAATAACGGTGTGTGAAACTGCCCTGAAACTAGCGCTTGGGTGAGCCTCACAATAGAGCCAAGCCTCTGCTGCACATAATCTGGAAGCCCTAGGTTCTCCCACACAAAGTAGGGTGGAGATCAAGTTTGCTGCTAAAATCTAGAGCCTCTGTCTGTTTCTGCCCAACACCAAACTGTCGTTCTGCCACTGATCAACTATATAGCTGCTGAAGTCCCATGTGATGCTGCTTTGGTGTTGCTTCTGTCATGGCATGGCTGTAGCCTGCTTTGCATGTGTGAAAGTGTGTTGTGTCTGCAATGCAGAACAGATCAACATGACCTAACAGGAAGTACACGTCATGCAGTACCACGACAGCCCTGTGTTTGCTCCTTGCTGCAGAATCCAGGAGTGAAAGCTGCTCCAATCCTATCTCTTCCTCTTGTGGAACTGATTGGCAAGTTGAAAGATGGTTCCTTGACTCCAGAAAGTGTCCTGTACACCTACATGGAAAAGGTAAATCAACCTGCACTTTTAACTACTTATTTAAGGCATGCATTGTTTGTATGGGTCAGGCTCTTCTTCCCTGCAAACCTAAAAGCACTTTACACAATACAAAGCAGGGATACCTCACACTGTAGGTGTGCTCCCTGAAGGGAGTTGATATGGAAGCCAAACCATGGACAAAAGCTTTGTTGCGGGAAGGGCCTGAACAACACCAAACACTTAAGCACAGCTAGTAAGATATATGAAAATCAAGGTTATTTGATTTATTGTATACTTATAAATAAATAATATTTAAGTTTAAAGAAAAACCTGAAACTTAAATATTTAGTTGGGAATAAAACTCATGTCAAATCCCAAAGTCCTTGAATACTCTGTGTCACCCTTTTTCAACATGGTGCCCTCTCCATTTGTTGGGTTACAATTCCCATATTCCCCAGCCTGTATAAAAGGCGCCAGACAGGAAAAGGGACAGAGAGAGATTGTATTAAATCTCTCTCTCCCCCTCTCTCTCATTACAATTCTGCTCCAAAACACCCCGCTGCCCCAAGTTCTTCTGCCAGCACTCACACTCACACTTATCACGGTTACAGGGTTAATGGGAGTTTGACATCCTCTCCCTGCAGCCAGGGCATGCCGTGGACTTGGACCTTTCATGCACCATGTGGCCTGAAGAGTTATTTTAAGATGTGATAGATTTATTATGGCTTCTAACGGCTAAGCTACAAGGGATTTCCATTTTTGGAGCTGCTTGCATTTAAGACGTACAAGGAGGGGTGTTGGGGTTTGCTAGGGGACATGAGGAGCAAATGCAATGCTTACTTAAGATGCAGGCTTAAGTGTGCAAAAGTAAATGTGATTTTACTGATGCTGGGTTTAGGAAGGAGGCTCATTCACAGTAAAGAAGGTGGGTGGTGGGGAGGGAGGGAGGGAGGGAGGGAGGCTGGCCAATGATAATGTGATAAGGTCATGGTCTTCATCGTTCTCACTAAGGGAATCCTCCACTGGAATTCTGCCTTCATTTGGAACCTATCCATTCAACCAATTCACTTATAGACACAGTAAGCGTCTTTATTCACGCCTTATGTCACACAGTGCTAAGTGATGACACAAGCTGGTCCCTCCAAGAATTTGGAAGTCATTTGCAAAACTGGAAGAAAGCTCCCAGCTTTAATTCACAATCGTTAATAGTAATTGGACCCACCCAATGATCTCTCCAAATGATTTTTTTGTTTTTGTTTCACTGTTATGCGCTACAAGTGGTAAATATTGATGTATTTACTTAGGCTACCGAATTTGCACCCATGGCTTGCAAATTGCTTCTTGATAACCATTAGCCAAGGAGCCTGTTCAACTTTCTGCAGTCTAGGTTGACACACAGTGAACTGATAGATGGCCACAGAAATAGACCTTACATATCTTCCAACTGGGAGCCTCTAAGTATTTGTCTCGCATGTTTATCACAAGCGAACTCTAATACGTACTGTGTGGTATAGAGACCTCGGCAGTGTCCACACTGTTACAATGCTTTGAAATTCTTTCCAGTGGAGGCTGGAGTCTTCAGTATCAGGAGGATTGTGTATGCATTCTGGACTTCTGAAGTGCTATCTGTGGTGCCATTCTGGAGATAGGGTTCAGTGCTTTTAAAAAGTTTGGGATAAAATCTGGAGTGCATCTGCAGCTCCACGAACATTGGAGCCATCAGCCCACAGTGGTTCTTTGACCAACTCACCCTTCCTCCTCTGTTTTGTTTTTTGTTTTTTTGCATACACAAAAGGCCTTAGAAGTAACCCAGCAAATCAACTGTGTGACAGACTTCCTCCCAGAGTGTGAGGAACAGCTCTGCGAAGTGAAAAAAAGGGAGAAAGGATTGCTTTATGGAGTCCCTGTCAGCATCAAGGAAGATGTTGCTTGCAAGGTAATTTTTGCATTATTTCTGAATAACTGGGCTAGAGGAATGGGGATTGGATTATACAGTAAAGTGTATGAATTTAAAGCCAAGAAAAGAGGATATTTTATTTTAATATTTGTGTTTATTTAGATCAAATTCCTCCCATTTGTTCTCCTCCAGACTGGGGTGGCCCAACACATGGCCTGCAGGCTACAGGTGGTAGCCAAGGCCTTGTTCTGTGGCCTTCTGGCCACTTGGAGCCCCATGTGGCTCCTCCAGTCCAGACCCACGGATGGCACATGCATGGTTGTGATGGGTTCTCCTGAGGCCGCCAGCCCATCCTGCTCAGGAGGCTCAGGAATCACTCTTGTGAGGCTGTTGGCCTGACCCACTTGCTTCCTGAACCTTTCTGCAGAGATCACAGGCCCACAAAGCGTACTTTCTCATTCCATTAGTCCTACATTCCAAAAATCATCTTAAAATTAAGCAGCTGCCCCTGATCCTAACTCTGAGACCTCATATCGGTTTTCTCCTTCATTTACAGGTTAACTCAGTATATTAATTTTGTATATTAGATAAATATATTGCAAACACTTTATTATATGGAATTGTAATTAATTATGTGGCCCTCATTCTGTGTCGAAGTCCTAATGCAGCCCTTGAAGCATGAACAGTTGGACTGCCCTGCTCCAGCTGTTTTGGACTAACTCCCATTATGCCTGGCTATTGTTTTTACTGACTGAGGCTGATGGGAATAATAGTCCAAAACCGAAATGAAACGAAATGAAACGAGAGGAGACGAGACGAGATGAAATGAGACAAAACAAAACTGGGGTGCACCACATTGCGGAAGGATGGCTTAGACGATATGATGAAATTATAACTTTTGGGAGGACTGTTGCCCAGCCATCCCTGCATGCAATGACACTGCTCTCCTCTATAACCAGGCTTTCCCTTTCAGAGGGATTTCCCATGGAGAAGGACAATCATTAGACGTTGGCAAAAAGGAAGCCCAGGGACCTGGCCCTTGGTGTCAGATGGCAGAATAAAGTGGGGGGGGGGGTTGGCATCCACACATTTTAGTATGAGGTAGCAGGGATGGGTTGGGAATATAGAAGTTACCTGTATAAACACACACAATTTCCAGTGGGCTTTGACCTAATTACCTGTTAATAGATGGCTGGGCAACTTGATATGAAATTTAATATACTGTGATGAGGACTTTTTATTTTTCCTGCTGCAATAAAATTCTTCCCTATTTCTTATTCTAATGCCTTGGGTGGTTTTGTGAAAAATGAGAAACATTTCAAAAGCAAGGTGTCTCACTGACTTATTCACTTCTTTTAGGGTTACCCAAATACACTTGGCTTGGTGAAATTTCTGGACCACCCTGAGCATGATGACTCTGTAATAGTCAAGGTTTTAAAGAAACAAGGAGCAATTCCATTTGTAAGGACCAACATTTCACAGGCCATATTAAAGTAGGTGCTTGTTCCCTTATTTAAGACATTTCCTTTGTGCAGTTTTTGAAGGCAAAAACTGACTCGTGTCCATCCAAGGAGCTTTGCCATTTTGGGTGGCTCAGTTTTTGTACCCTTAATAGTAAACTGACATAAAGTAGGGAGGAGATAAAGTTTATGGGCAGTTTCCAATATTATTTGTTCTGCCGCACCTGTAGAACTTTAGTGTGCTTCAAATGTTAATGTGAACTTAGCTAATTCGCACTTTTCAAACCAATATGAAAACTGCAGTGCAGTTAAATTTTCATCTTTGCAATCTCCTAAATTTTGCAATGTACTCAACCATTTTAAAAATAAAACAAAATGGGTCTACTGGGGAAACAGGCTCACCAAATGCACACATTTATGGAAATAACATGAAAAAACATAAAACACATAATATTATGGTAAATTGCTTGAAAATTGCATATATGTAGAAAGTGTGTGAAAACAAGCAGACATTTTCATGCAATTTTTTAAAAAATGACAAACCAGTGTGTATCCACAACAAAATAAACTGAAGGGTGATTTGAGTGAAGCTGAATTTGACAGTCATCCAACCCTAGCAAAGATACATTTCATCAGTGAAAATCTGAGACTTGATCATTTTAAAGTATGCCATTCATTTTAGATTTAACTTCAAATGGCTAACACGCTAACTGCAAAGGGCGAGCATCTTGTGGTTCTCTATTTGTTTTGACCTACAGACTCCTATCAGCCTAGACTGCACAGCAAATGGTTAGGGATGATGGGAGCTGTAGGCCGCAGATTGCTCACCCCTGTTCTAGTAGGATGCAAGGACATTCCAACACTAGCCACCCAATCTATATTTTGCCATATGTTTGATCCACTATGGGGTTAGAAAAACCCTTGATGCAGTCCTTAATATCTATAAAGTTGATCACTTACTGTTCCTCCCTGAAGCTGATTCAACCAACTGCATACCTGACCTTCGTCCACACTTTACTGGTAAGATTTCAGTGCCTGCAGGCTTAACTTAGTAGTTGTTTTCCATCCATCTCAGCATTGACTGTGGCAATACTCTCTTCGGACAAACCTTGAATCCCTTCAACCACAAGAAAACCTCTGGAGGCTCCAGCGGAGGGGAAGCAGCCCTTATTGGAGGAGGAGGATCGATTCTGGGGATTGGGACAGATGTGGCTGCGAGTATTCGGGTGCCATGTGGCTTTTGTGGGATCTGTGGGTTCAAACCAACTGGCTATAGGCTGAGGTAAGTTTCACAGGTTGGAAACAAATTGCCAGCCATATATCATGAATACAAAGGCTAGTGAAGTGGCTAGTAGCTGCTTAAAAACAAACCTCATGCATTCAGAATTCTGAATGCAGAAATAATAGTTTCAGGAAGCCATAGAATTGTGGATGGATAGTACCCCTTCTACTTAGCATGACTGGGCATTTGCCGAGGCCCAGAAGGCATTAAGGCAAAGACAAAGAAGCTTTTAAAAGTCAAGGGCTCCATATCTTTGGCCTGGTTTGCAACCTGTTCCTCAGAGAGGTGTGTCTTGCACTGATGCTTTATTCATTTAGGTTCCAGGCTCAACCCTTTTTATTTCCCCTATGTTTTAATTTTAAAGGCAAGGGAGAAAGAGAAAGATACAAACAATTGAATGCAGAATTCCAGAGAATAGCTAGAAGAGATAAGAATGCCTTCTTAAATGAGCAGTGCAAAGAAATAGAAGAAAACAATAGAATAGGGAGGACCAGAGATCTATTCAAGAAAATTGGAGATATGAAGGGAACGTGTCATGCAAAGATGGGCATGATGAAGGACCAAAATGGCAGGGACCTAACAGAGGCAGAAGAAATTAAGAAGAGGTGGCAAGATTACACAGAAGAACTGTACAAGAAAGAGCTTAATGTCCCTGATAACCACGATGGCGTGGTCACTGACCTTGAGCCAGACATCCTGGAATGTGAAGTCAAATGGGCCTTAGGAAGTCTGAGCAACAACAAAGCTAGTGGAGGTGACAGTATTCCAGATGAGCTATTCAAAATCTTAAAAGACGATGCAGTAAAAGTACTACACTCAATATGCCAGCAAATCTGGAAAACTCAACAGTGGCTGCAGGATTGGAAAAGGTCAGTTTACATTCCGATCCCAAAGAAGGGCAATGCCAAAGAATGTTCAAGCTACCGCACCATTGCACTCATTTCACATGCAAGCAAAGTTATGCTCAGAATCCTACAAGCTAGGCTCCAGCAGTATGTGGACCGAGAACTACCAGAAGTACAGGCAGGATTTCGAAGAGGGAGAGGGACTAGAGATCAAATTGCCAATATATGCTGGATCATGGAGAAAGCTAGGGAGTTCCAGAAAAACATCTACTTCTGCTTCATTGACTATGCTAAAGCCTTTGATTGTGGGGATCACAACCAATTGTGGCAAGTTCTTAAAGAGATGGGAGTACCAGACCACCTTATTTGTCTCTTGAGAAACCTATATGCGGGTCAAGAAGCAACAGTGAGAACTTGGCATGGAACCACTGATTGGTTCAAAATTGAGAAAGGAGTTTGGCAAGGCTGCATACTGTCGCCCTGCCTATTTAACTTATATGCAGAGCACATCATGAGAAAGGTGGGGCTGGATGAATCACCAGTTGGAATTAAGATTGCTGGGAGAAATATCAACAACCTCAGATATGCAGATGATACCACTCTAATGGCAGAAAGTGAAGATGAACTAAAGAGCCTCTTGATGTGGGTGAAGGAGGAGAGGGCAAAAGTTGGCTTGAAACTCAACATTAAGAAAACTAAGATCATGGCATCTGGTCCTCTCACTTCCTGGCAAATAGATGGGGAAGAAATGGAGGTAGTGACAGATTTTATTTTCCTGGGCTCCAAGATCACCGCAGATGGGGACTGCAGCCAAGAAATTAAAAGACGCTTGCTCTTTGGGAGGAAAGCTATGGCAAATCTAGACAGCATACTAAAAAGCAGAGACATCACTCTGCCAACAAAAGTGCGTATAGTCAAGGCTATGGTTTTCCCAGTTGCAATGTATGGCTGTGAAAGCTGGACCATAAGGAAGGCTGAGTGCCAAAGGATTGAGGCCTTTGAATTGTGGTGCTGGAGGAGACTCCTGCGAGTCCCTTGGACCGCAAGGTGATCAAACCAGTCAGTCCTAGAGGAGATCAACCCTGACTGCTCTTTAGAAGGCCAGATACTGAAGATGAAACTCAAATACTTTGGCCACCAGATGAGAAGGAAGGACTCACTGGAGAACAGCCTAATGCTGGGAACAATAGAGGGCAAAAGAAGAAGGGGACGGCAGAGGATGAGGTGGCTAGATGGAGTCACTGAAACAGTTGGTGTGAGCTTAAGTGGACTTTGGGGGATGGTGGAGGACAGGAAGGCCGGGAGGAATGTTGTCCATGGGGTTGCGATGGGTCGGACACGACTTCGCAAGTAACAACAACAATGTTTTCATTCTTATTGCTAATTTTAGAATTGGGTTTTACTGTCCTATATTTCATTGTATGTTGCTGCTTTGTTTGGTTTTGTATTGCCATCCTGACACGCCTATAAAGGATGAGATAAAAATGCTATAAATAGATGATAGATAGATAGATAAATATCTCCCTCTCGCCTCCTCCCCACTCCTCTCTCCTCCTCCCTCCCTCTTTCATTTTGCTCAGTGAAACTGATGGTCACCATGAGGAGAATATGACTGAGGGAGCAGGAAGCCAGTGAGCAGATAAACATGAACTCAGAGACCCAAGTGCAGTGCCTAAAGCAATCTTCTGAAGGTTGCTGTGTTGTTCTAGTCTTCATCCTGCAAGGCTGTTCCTCCTTGCTCTGTCTCTGTCTCTGTCTTATGGCAGCTATGACTTCTGCTGTGGAGAATAAGAGAGGGAGAGGAAGACAGGCCCAGTCCTCTTCAACATGTGTATTAATAATTTGGATGAGGAGGTGCAGGGAATGCTCAACAAATTTGCAGATGGCACATAATTGGGTGGGAGAGCCAATACCCTAGAAAACAGGAACAAAATCCGTAGGTATTCTTGATAGGTTGGAGCACTGGACTGAAAACAGCAGCATGAAAATGGATAGGAATGAATCCCAAGTGCTCTTCCTAGGAAAAGGAAACCCAGTGGGAGATACTTGGCTCAACAATACAACAACTGAGAAGGGCTTTGGAATTGTTGTAGCTCACAAGCTGAATATGAGCTAACAATGTGATGTGCTACAAAAATGCAAATGCTATTTTGGGCTGTATTAATAGAATTATCACGTCCAAATCATGTGAAGTAGTAACCCACCTCTGCTTAGCACTGGATAGGCCTCATCTTAAGTACTGCATCCAGTTCTGGGCACTGCAATTTAAGCAAGATGCAGATGAATTGGAAAAGGTTCAGAGGAGGGCAACAAAGATGATCTGGGGACTGGAAACAAATCCCTGTGAGGAGAGACTGAAATAATTGGGCATGCTTAGCCTTAAGAGGAGAAGACTGAGGGGAGATATGATAGCACTCTTCAGGTACTTGAAAGGTTGTCACACAGAAGACGAAGATCTGTTCTTGAGCATCCCAGAATCACATGGAATAATGGGCACAAGTTACAGGAAGCCAGATTCTGGCTGAACATCTGGAAGAACTTCCTGATTGTTAGAACAATATGACAATGGATCCCGCTGTCTAGGGAGGTCATGAGATCTCCCACACTGGAGGCATTCAAGATGCAGCCACACAGGCCTCTGTTAGGGATGCTTTGGCTTGAATTCCTGCATGAAGCAGGCTGTTAGACCTGATGGCCTTCTTGGCCTTTTCCAATTCTACTTTTCACTGATACTGTGCCTCTTTAGGGAATGGGGCTTAGGTTGACAGAGGAGATGCTTACTGGGACAGATGCAAAGACTTACTGGATTGTGCACTGTCCAAAGTCTGGGTTCTCCAGATCTCTGTAACTAGAACCAACTGGGGAAGAAATAGTAGCTGAGTTTCTAAAAGAAACATACTGCTTTAGCAGAAAGGAAAGGAAAGGAAAGGAAAGGAAAGGAAAGGAAAGGAAAGGAAAGCCCCCCTTTTTTGAAAAAGCAAGAGACAGTGTTGCCCAAGATTGGCAACCTGCCAGTAGAGCCTCCAAAGTCAAGAGCCATTTGGGATCATCTCTAGATTGATTGTTCAATTCACTTACAACATGGTTGTGTTTAGTTACCTAATTCATTGGATGCGGATTGTGCATGCTCAGAAGCCTACTTGGGCATTCCGTGCACCCTCTCCTGCCCAGGTCCAATCATAAAAGAGGAAGAGTGGGGCTGCTCTTGCGGGTCAGCTCCTCTGTCACATGCCCAGACATGTTGCTTAGGAAAGACAGCTGCTCTGCATCATTGACAGTTTGGGACCCCAATTGGCTGGGGTTATAAATCACATGGGGAGTCTATGTGGAATCTCCACTGTAGACTTTCCCTTTCAAGTTACAGGACTGGACAAGGATGATGAAAAGAGGGGGAAGGCAACTGAGTGCATCGCTGCCCGCTCCCTAATTGTATATATCACTAACCATACAAACAAGACTAGGCATTCAACAAATGTTGCTCCTGCATGGAACTAGTGTTACTCCATCTTTCTTTATTAAGAAGCTATTTCCCTCCAAATCCTGCTGCATATGTGCTGTATGAAGGAGAACTGTAGTTTCTCATTTTCAAAGAAATGCATTACAGGTTTGTGTTCTGCCATTAAACACAGATCATCATCGCATTGCTGAGCCCTGTCTTAGATTTTTAGATCCAAACTCTACTCCACAAATAGAGTACAGTAAGTGTTGCTTGGCCATTTTTGTCTGAGCAAAGTTGAGTTATTAGAAAGTAATGCTAGCCCTGTATGAGTAAGAAGTTCTTTTATAGTCAGCTAAACTTTCCAAGTATTTGAGAACATCAATCTTCCAGGAAATCTGAGTATAAATCTGGAAGAAGATGTGTATGTGGGTGTGCGCATGTGAGTGTGTAGAACTGTATTAGTAGCATAACTCCTAACTTCTGGACTAAAAATGTGGGCTGTGCCAGTGAAAGTATTAAACACGGGGAAGGTCCAGAGCCTGTTTTCACTTAAAGCTGAAATCTCTCTGCAAATTGTTGTTAGTTCTGGTCTAAATTCTAAGAAGGGAAGTGAAATTGTTTGAATCCACAGTGTATGCAAGCTGCATAGTTAAAATATCCATGATCTGCTTCAGTGAGGGGTGGATGTCAGAAAGCTCACTTCTACAGGTAGATTTGCAAAGGCTAGCAAGTTAATTAGAGATAATCAAAGATGCCTGTAATATTTCTCTATCAAGGGGGGAAAACCCTGAAGAGGTTCTGTGCAGAATTTCCAATGGATTTCCAATAGCTTGGCGCTATTAGTAACATCCTTTGACACATGTCACTTGCATTTCATGGCTTGGGTCTGTTTGGCTCTCTCTGTCATTTGGCTTTTCTCCATCATTAATTTACTTTTCTCGTTTGCTCTTGTGTAGCGTCAAAGGTGCTACCACTCCTGTAGCTGGAATGAACTCAGGTGAGCCAGTCTATCACTGATAAAATATAAGCTAGAGTTTAAACCATTACTCAGCTCTTGGGGAAATTCAAAACAAGCACAAGCCTTTTGAGGAATACAGTGGTCTTTTGATAAGCAATCACCCATCCAAAACTGGGCTCAATATCATTAAAAAAAATCAAGGGTCCTTTTATCAGATGGCCAGCTGTCTGTCTCATTCTCTCTGTGATTTCTAATATTCTAATGAAAGTCTGACCCATTTTTAAAGCATTCAGTAGCCATGAAGATTTTGCAGGCTGGGTGGAAGCGGGGAAAAGCTGCTTCATTTATAGAGAAACTTAAGTATGCAGAGCACTTGAAAAGTTTGGTCTCATTTGTGCTGGAACTGCAAGCAGGTAAATCACTGAAATTTGCAAGATTCTGTGATGGAGTTAGAAAACAAGATCAAAGGATGTATGCCGGGTGTGCTTGCATATGCTAACACTTTAGCAAAGAGAGGTTAATATTAGGTATTACTATACCACTTTCCCCATATGTTCATGTTCATTAGTGGTTATTTCAGGACTTTTGCAGCAGCCCTCAAAGTCGTCCAGTATTATATGGGTCAGAGGCATGAGTGGGACTCACTAGGAGACCTCCTCACATACCTATGGCTACCTAGTGAGTTTAGATTTTTACTGTGGAATTTGAGGCCGGACCTCAAATTAATTTGTGGCCATTAACATTTATAGTGCAACACTCATGTTGTAAATACAAAGGAGTTCAGATGTTGAAGAAATGGAGCTTACAAGCACAGAATTAGGGATGAAGACCCCACCTTTGGAGTGACATATGAATATTGTTATAAAATATGTTGTTCAGTTCAGATGTAACACTAAAACATAATTATGCACCCCTTCCCCTTTGGCAAGCCAGTGGAGGATGATTACATTTTTGTTTGTTGTTGTGAACAAGTTCCCATTATATATACATTTGGTAAAGTCAGGATCAAAATATGGTTTACTACCCTGATTTGTGAACCAAATATAGTTGAACAAACCACAGTGTCCACTATTTAGACATTGGGAAACAGATCTGTTCCCCATGGAAAGAGAGTTAAATCTCCTTTCCTAAAGGGGGGACATGCAATCTCGAGGTCACATCTGGTTATCTTTGTACTGATGAACTGGTTATCTTAATACAAGGATTCAGTGGGTATGCTGCCACTTCCTTCACTATGTTCAGAGGTCTTCCTCCTTTGTTCCAGTCATCTCTGTGACAGGCCCCATGGCCAGAGATGTGGACAGTCTGGCTCTGTGCATGAGGGCTCTCCTGTGTGACGAGATGTTCAATCTGGATCTGGCTGTGCCCCCCCTTCCCTTCAATGAGGAGGTAACAGAACTGGGTTTTGGGATCGACTCATGCATGGGAGAGGTGCTTTGGCTGAGGATGCTTCTTCGGTCCTTTATATACACAGACACACACACAGACACAAATGGCCCAGCTGTGAGCAGGAGGGTACAATTTGTGTCAATGCTGAATTGTCCTGAGTGTGGCAAAATGTAAGCAGGGATCTACGGGGGCTGCATTGGGACTTTATGTTCTAATGCAGCTTCATTTCTGGCCTAGAGTGGGACTATCCAGAAAGAATCATTCTCAAAGTCTGGAGTCAAAATGGAGGCTCAAAGTCTGGAGCCAAAATGGAGGCTCAAAGCAAAACCTTTTTGACAATGTAATCCGAAATCCACTCAGAAGAAAAAAAAGAAAAAGACTAGCTCTCAGTTCCCCTGACAGACTTCAGAAATCTGAATTCAAATCCTCTGTCCAAGTCATGTTAATATCCATTTCCAAGAAAAATAAAATGAAACAGGAAGCTTTTGTAACTCCAGAACAACTAAGCACATTTCCACCTAGTGACTAAACTTTACAATGACATAATCCGTAGAACGACTGAGTGAAGAGACTTGGGTAAAAACGGGACAGGGCAGGAATGTGATAGTTTTAGACTAGATGAAAAGATTAAGGCAGAATCTGAATTGCTTGCTCTTCAGGTATTAGCTAAGCCCGTTGTTCGTCAGGATGTCATTTTCAGTCTCAAGAGTGCTTCATAGAAGCATCATTTGAATCAAAGTCACTCCTCCTTGCCCCTGGCAGTTGGAACACCCAGCTGCCTACCTGGGATACTAACAGAATGCACTGATATGCAAGCGCTTCAGTGTACATGTTGCTATGATAACTGATGTGGCCATGTCCGATGGCCAATCAATCAAACAAATAAAATAATAAAATAGGTTGGCTGCACAAATTACATCTTCTTGGAAATTTCAGGCTATTTCAGGAAGTGAAGCATGATTGCATGTGTGCGCAAACCAAGAAAGTACATTAAATCTTTGAATCGAGTCTTGATTCATTTTGTTGAATACTAGTGAACAGACCCAGGTGGATAGCCCTTATTTTGATCCTCCAAAGCTTTCAAGTACACTTGTGAGCTATCCAGGTTAAGCAGATTGGGCTCACCTGCTGTGAGTGCGGGTGTGTCTACTGGTACCCCATGGCATGGACACGGCTGTGATGGGAGGAGTCTGTTTGCACCACTTGTTGGTGGGGGAAGTGCCCCCAGCAGGCGAGGTGGCAAGTGTATAATTCTGTCTCTCGGCTTATTACTTTCTCCTGGTTTCAGATGGTATTTCCTGTGAAGCTGTATACTGTTTAGGGAATTCTGCCCCTACTGGTTGAAAATGTCACTGCAGGCTTCCAGAACATGGACACAGTTAAGGGCCAATGCACTGGCTGAGGAATGCTGGGAGTTGTAGGACTTTTTTTTGTCTCAGCAGGCATAGGATTGTGACCTTAAATGAATTAAATTGATGCACTTATAAACCAAAACAGGATAACCCCAAGATGTACACTGCTAGGGACCCCTTAGTGTGCATCTCCAATCTCAGGTGTCTTGGTGCTTGGAACTGATGGATGGACAGGCCAACAGGTACATAGACATGCACACACTTTTGCTATTAGCAGAAATGAAAATTAAGTAGGTGGGTTGTTACAGATGACAGATCCTATAATATAAGGTTTACTTGACCATCAGGCCGGTAGAGTATCCTCCACCTCTTTCCTTATTTCAGCTATGGCCTCACTGAGCCTATTTGTACTCAACCTTTTTGAGCATTAAAAATATCACTTAAGTTCACATGGGAAGGAACCTATATGGTCATGGAATTATTTAACTTACTTTCCCCCTGTAGGTTTGCTTATTATTTTTTTGTGGGCAGAAGGAGTTATATTCTGCCTTTCAAATGAATCTCCAGAGAGATTTACAAAAGTTAAGAAATAAATAAAATGAAAGACATGCCAACCATATACTAAAAGCAAGAAATCTAAGCAAAGGAAATCTAAACAAAAATAAAAGAACTGGGAAAACAGGAAGTTCTCTCTTGGGTGCCAAAGAGCTATCAAGGGAGGTATCAGGCTAGCTTTCCTAAAGAAAGCATTCCGGAATGGTGGGGTGTGTGGATGGAGAGGCATATGGGGGGACCCGTCAACTGTTTAGGATGCTGGATTGAAACTTACCCTTACCTGAGCTGTGAAACATCAGTTCATCTCAGGAATTTTTCATCTAAATAAAGTTTTATCTCTTTGCAGATTTACTCTAGTTCCAGACCCCTTAGGATTGGATACTATGATGATGATGGTTATTTCCAGCCATCTCCCAGCATGAAACGGGCTGTGCAGGAAACCAGAAAACTCCTACAGGATGCTGGGCATACAGTAAGCTCTGTGCTCTTGGAGAGAACTTTTCTCATATTACCTTATTTTTAATATATGAATGAATTTATTTAATTGAATCATATTGCTTTAATATCACTGGGGTTTTCTAGATTGTGTGCAACAGATAAATAGTAAGAAGCAGTGAATGTCATTTACAAACAATTGCATATTACTAGCAAGGATACTGGCTCTTGATCCTTGTAAATTATACTCTAAATTATACTCTAAAGAATTTAGAAGTAAAAGTTAAAATGGGAATAATACAAGAAAGATATAATGAAAAAATGAGGGGAAAATCAGGATAGAAAAGAATTAAATGACTGAAAATGCGCACTGAGAATTTGGGTAATATAGAATATAATTCTGCAGCCATGCTTGGCATGTCTGCACACCAGTGCAGTTTAACATTCATATATTTAATTTTGTAACATTAGATTCATTGCCACTACCGGATCTCTGCTTACCCAGAGCTTTCAGGTACTTGCTCAAGCTGGTTTTTGCATCTGCAGGTAGAAGACTGGGCTGCAGGATAAATTTTTAGGCAGAAATAGAATGCTGTGGAGATCAGATAAAAATGTTTTCCATCATAGATGGATTGCTAGTCCTTTCTGATCTGAGCTTTAGAATCTTTATATCAGTTAATTTGGTACAAACTATTTGTGTCAGTTTATTTGTCCAAAGAGATCTTTGGTGCTATAGTCAGACATCTGTTAAATGAACATTGAACAAAATGTAAAAAATAGTCAGGAAAAATGTATCACCAGACCATACATTTTAATTGGTTCAATGAAGAAATATACATATAAGGTCATAATTACATATGTCAATTTGTAACATATAATCTGAGTTGTCTTTATATATTGACTTTTATTTTTTCCACCTAGCTTATACCCTTTACTCCTCCTCGAATTGATTTTCTGGTAGATGAGCTGTTTACCAAAGGTCTCTATGCTGATGGAAGTTCCACTTTAGTGGAAAAGTTGTAAGTAGATATCAAAACTGTGGCTTGATTATATTTACATTAAGAATGGACAGTTCTTCTAGCTCTCTCTATCTTCTTACTGACTAAGGGCACAATCCTATACAAGTTCAGACAGGGGGGGGAAATCCTACAACTTCCAGCATTCCTCAGCCAGCTTATGTGTTTGTCCCTCAGATCCTAACAGCAGTAAGTTACAATGACCACCACTCCAAAATAGTTTTGGCAGACCTGAACACTGAAGAGAAATCATCTGCTTTTTTCCCCTCTTTCTACTTTCCCCCTTTATGCAATCATAAAACAGGAAGGAACAAAGGTCAGTAAAGTTAAAAGCAGGACCTTCAGCTGTAGGGGACCTGGTGGTTTTTCCTCCAACCTTCCATAAAACCCATATTTAAGCTGTTCTGAAAATCAGAAACTTTTTTTCATGGTAGCTGTTGCATGACAGACCTCAAAACATGCCTTTTCAATCCTCTGTGTATTTGCAATGCCAGTTGCTTAAATTATTCTCAAATATCTGATTATTAATGTAGTACACTATGATGTGAGCATTGAAACACAGCTTGGCTTATGGGTTAATCAAGGAATTGAAATACATTCATTAAATAGGACATTTCAGTTGCTTGGAATTCAAACATATATAGAAGGAATTTTTAACTATGGTTTAAAAAAGTGGTCCTAAGATAGCAGACAAGGCATGTATGCATGCATTTTTAAGGCTGCAATATTACATTTGTTTGCCTGGCTGGGGAGATATTCACTGAACAATTGGGCAGACATGCATAAAATAGTTCAAACTGTGCAAGTTAGAAGTCTACTTTTAGATCGAGGTTCTGCAGCCTGGAAGGGTCCAGAGTCTTCCTGAATGACAAAAAAGACACGCCCAGGAGAAGATGAAGTAGCAAGTTGCCTGTACTTTGATTTGGGTAGAGATAGGGGCAGTCAGGTGGAGAGGGGAGCACCTCTGAAGAAAGCAGAGCACAGGCTCACCACTGAGCACAAGCAAGCATGTTGAGCTTGTGCTCATGTTTGCTGTCCTTACATTTGCATGCAAAGACAGAATAAAACTATTTTACATCAGTAACTCAAGCAAAGAGGAAGGGGGCTGACCTCATCACAGCAACCTCCAAATGGTGGTTCCAAAACTGAACTGAATTCAAGCCTGAATCGTCTGAGCTTTAGAATTGGCTCTATTATTAACAGTGAGAACTTGCTGTTACGAGGGCAAAGGGTGTCCACCTCCTACTGTCCCAGAGCGAGGAGATGAGCTGATTGCCATGCAGTCAGAGTCTCTGTGGGATGACTGGCTTTCTTTTTCTTTCCTCCATGCCAGTGATGGAGAGCTGGTGGATGCCACTTGGACAAACCAGATACGCTGTTGCCGCATGCCAAACCTACTGAAGAGGATCTTGGCTCTCATTTTAATGCCTGTGGTGAGTCTCCTAGACATGTAAGGAAGTTCAGAGATAGACATTCTTCATGTATACCATGATCACAAGCAAAAGGTGCCACAACTTGGAAGTGCCACATGACTATTTCTCTCTTTCATTTTCCATACTAGGGGCAACTCAAGATAGCTGGCTTTCAGCTGTGCCAAAAACAAACCAAGTTAAATCTGCCTCTGTGTGGTGCTTATGTGCTCTTTCTCTGCCTAAAATCATCATCATTGGCTCTAGATTAAAGGAGATCAACAATAGGATGGTTCTGACCCAGCTCCTACTTCAAGGGATATACTTTCTAGTCCCTCCTCTGGAAAAATGTAGCAGAGTATGACAGAGAACAATTTAGAAATACTGTATCTGGCAATGCGCTTGCATGTGAGGCATTTTCACTAGTTTGTGTGACTGTGGAAAAATCACAGATGCTGTCGGATAGCTGAAAAGAGTTTGCAATAATCTCTGTCCGCTGAATCTCTGAAGTTTAGTTTCTTTGCTTAGGCAATCTTTGAGAGTAGTCTTACTACATAAGGTGATGTAGCAAAGTAGTCACTGGCTATCTCAGCACTGAGTCGTATTCTTTATATCCAAATATGTGATTTTGACCTGATGAAGAGAGAGGATCAAGATTCATGAGCTGAGAGTAACTCATTAGAGGCAAGAGGTGAGGAAGGTGTCTGACAAGCCTCATGACTAGGAATGCAAACTTAGACACATTTAATGGGAGGGGTAAGTTCTGTTAAACTCAATGGGACTTCCTCTGGGATAGAACTCAATAGGTTGTACTGTAGGTGGGATAGGGAGGGAGAGGACTAGACCAAGGATTTTCAAGATCCAATGCAGAAAAAGACACTATTTTAATATTTCAGCCAGTATTCCAAAATGCCTAAGCATTTAGACACATTGGTGTCGAGGGCTAAATCTGCAAGGCTGCTCCTTGGAAATATGCTGAAGCCTTTGTTGTGCATCTGAAAATGAGATTGCTCACACATTGCCGTAACTGTATGTTCTCACAGGAAGCTTATAGCTTTCTATTTGCATTGATTGCTACTGATATATTTAAATCAGAAAGTAGCTCTGGATCTTTAGAGAAAACCATGTTCCATTTTCTTTTGAGCCAAAGCTGAATTGTAATGTAAACTTGTATATTTGATTATTTCCCTTATGCGCTGTCTCAAAATGACTGTTTCATTTAGAGCTCGGTCACAGTCAATCTTGTTACCAGTCGCAGGTTTTCATATGCTGCTTTTTGATGATCCCATTCATGGCAAAATGATGGTGTTGGAAAGCAAAGTGGAGGCATGGGGGAAATAGTATTGCTACAGATCTTAATCTTCCGTACAACAACTTTGCAGGACTGTTTCATCCTAGAGTTAGCCCCATCCTATCTGCCAAATATAGTACAAACTCAAAACATATCCTTTAAAAAATCGTAAGAACTCACTATTAATAAGAATCCTTGACAGTGAGTAAAAAAAGGCACTCTCTAGCTATAGTCACAAACTTTCAAGCCCCATTGATTTCATTGAGAGAATTAAGTACATATATTAATCTCTTTTTCTGGAATCAGTGAAAGCATATACATTTTTTCCTGGGTTGAGGCCAGCTGTTTTGAATGGATCTCTATGAATGTCACAAAACGTGACAAAATCCAGTCTTAGAAATGAGTTACCATAAGACGAGCTTAACATAAGAAGAGCCCTGCTGGATCAGACCAAAGGTCAGCATTTTGTCCACACAGCAGCCGAGCGGATGGCCATGGAAGGTCCATGGACCTGAGTGCAAGAGCTTCCTCTCACAAGGGCTTCCCAGCAAGCAGCATACAGAGGAGTACAGAGGTTATATGTAGCCATCAAGATTAGCAGTCGTTGTCCTCAATGTTATGATGAAGAGTGGAATGGAATAGCAGAGAATATGGGAGAAGGCCAGCCTAGGATATTTTTCTGCCTGAGGAAAGGATGAGGGAGCCCACTGGATTGGCTGAGGAATCTTACTTTCATTCTGGTCATGGAGCAGCTACCTCCAGCACTCCTGAAAGCAAGGGACTTACTTATGGGCCCAGATCAAAGGGTGGGTGGCACATCCTGTTCGTCATTCAGTCACTCACTGCCACTCACTTATTGCTTTTCCAAGCAGCTGCTCGTATTCACCACTGGCACAAGCAGCAGCAGCAGCAGCACCTGTGCGACTCAAGGGAGCAAAGCCACGCACTGAGTGTTTGACAGTATGAGTGACCTGTGCTGACTGCCTCTTGGCCTTCTTGCTGATTTTGGCTGGGATCTCACCTAATGGTGCAGCCTGTGATGTCTTGGGAGAAGGTGACCAGACAGGACAGCCAGGAGGCGAAGCCAAGGAGACATCTCCACTTCCAGGGTCCTGGTTCAGGACAATGTGAACACTGGAAGGGGGAGAAGCTCAGATGGAAGATCCAGGGTGGCACTGCCACCTCCATTTATGGAAGCTGCTGCCGGTGTGACCTACTCATTGGGCCCTTCTCTCAACGACTACCCAACACTTCTTATGACTCCAACAGCCTCTCTGTGGTGTTCTCACCTCTTCTTTTTCTTCCTCCTCACTAAAAGCTGGAAGGTGCAATGGGGATCCACAAAAACATGGCTACCATCATGCCCAGCCAAGGAGAGGAAAAACATAGGAAAAAAGCGAGTCAGAAGGGCCTCCTGGGCTATCTAGTCTGACCCCCAGTTCCAACTGTCTCCACTCATGCAATCCCCCACACGTGCTTGTTCAAGGAATAGGAAGAGAGGGAGGAGGCTAAAGGAAACCTGCACCATAATTAAAACTTCCTTGAAAAATTGGTTTATTTCTATTGAAAAAAAAATCATTCTTTATATAATGTGACCTGGTGTTAGTTAGTGTGATAGCCAGAAAATCGCACCCTGGCAGCTTAAAGGAGGAAACTGGAATTTGAGGATGTACACTCTCAAGCCCAACTTTCTCCCCACTTCCCATGGAGTGTGTGTGTGTGTGAAATTACAAAATGGATCTGCACCTTTTAGTCTTAGTTCCAGCACTAAGTCGCTCCTTTCTAATAGACTGCACTTGCCCCTTCTCTTTCTCTTGAGAGGGGGAGAAAGGTGAGTGATTGTCATCCATCACCTATGCATTCGTGGGTCATCTTAGCTCCCACCGATACACTTCTACTGCGATCTTTCCTTTGTAAGGTCTTAAGAGGCATTCCTGCAGGATATTTACCTGGATGGCTCTTCTGACAGGAGTCTTGGAGTCAACAATTATAGAACTGCAAGTTATTCTCAATCTCTTCACACTCAGTGGCACTGCACTATAAGGGATTGGTGTCCTGCAACAGCAGGGGGTTGGACCTGATGGCCTTCTTGATCCCTTCCAACTCTACTATTCTACGATTCTATGATTTGGAGAAGGCATTCAGATTAACCCCAAACCAAACTCGATAAAAATCTGCATCTAAATACTATATTATTAATATGTTATTTTGTTTCAGCTTCCACGAATCTCCCGACATTTGCATGCCCTCCTTGGTGTAGGGTAAGTTGCTTTGATACGACTGATAATGAACTCATCATGCAGGCCTAAGTGTAACCATGATTGGGTTCAGAAGAGTATCAGTAATGTTATAACTTCAGGGCAATAGTCACGAACCTTTAAGAATGCATTGAGTAACAGGGCAGGGAGTAGCCACAAGATACTCCAGATCAACCTACTTCCATGTGGCACATCCCAGTTAGACTACTACATGGCCAATGTTCATGACGGCTGGGGAGGTGGGAGTTGTAGACCAAAGCACTGGCGCAGGTTGGGGGAGCTTGCTTTAAAGTCTGTCTATTCACAAAACTGTGAACTGTTCACTAAAATATCCGTGAAATGTGCTCTATGTTATGAAACCATATGTCACAACATATCTGTTTTTAAGTTTCTGTAAGAGTCTTTAAAAGTTTTTGGTAGGTGTTCACACTTTAGAGTAAAAGAACGGTTATGTTACAATGCATCCAGCAGGGGGCAGCAATAGCTTGACCAAATAATACATTTTTGCAGGACAGGGAAATATATTTGTAATATTTGTAATTGAACAATTGAGATGTTTTGATTTACAGAGGATTTAACTGGCATATTGCCATCATGTGTGTGTCTGGGGGTACAATTCTAGTGATCTGGAAAACTTAATTCAGATGCCATTGTCTGATCATCATGGTTGTGACACTGGGGCAGGTTCCATTTCATGGTTAACATCTTTGTTGAAGAGAGACAAACAGGGTTGAGAATATGAAGAGAGACATTTAAATGACCTGATTGTAAGAACAATACCTTCTCCGACATTCTGATAGACCTTTTAGCAGTATCCCATATTTAGGATGTGCTGTTAGGAGTCTCTGATGAAGAATCCAGGATAGAATTGTGTTTGACAGTTTATACAGACATGTTCCCATGATTATATGACTATAGCTATGCTGACGTGACTAATCATGTGGACATATAACCAAAATGACTGTTTTGATCAATTTTCTTTTTTTAAAAATAGCATTATTAATACTAAGTTGGATGTGTTCACCTAGGTCAGTGAAAAACTTCTGGAAGAACAATGTTGACCGAAGGGTAATTCTTTATTTTTTTTTCTCATTATGAGGCACAGAAAAGTAGCTAGGGATTCCTGCTCTACTTCAGTTCCGTCTCACCAGCAGAGTGACCTGGTTATAAACATCTGTTTCTTGGGAAACTTTGCACATGGTCTTCATATTTGGTTATATCATTAACCTGAGGGAAGTGCAAAGAAAATTAGGAACATGCCTAGCATTTCACAAACCTTTGATTTGATTTGATTTGATTTGGGACATGAATTCCAATCAAGAGTTTACACAGATGGCAACTCCAGTATCAGCCAGGACAGTGATGAGGATTCAGATTCCATGGATCTGTGGCACTTCACCATCTAATAGATGGTGCCAACACAGGCAAACAGTTGATTTGGAAGTGGCCAGAAGAGATGGCCAAGAGGTATTGGATTATTGATGGGGGCAGCTGCAATGGCTAGTACTGCTTGGTTTTATTCATACACCCTCTTACCAGACTGGGTGCATTAACCACAGGAAGTGCCCTATATTGAAACCGATTGGGCCCATCTAGCCAGGGGTTTGGACTGGCCTGTTTGCTGGCCCTGCCTGGAGACTGCAGAGGTTGAACCTAAGGGCTTACCATGCAAAGCAGGTGCTCTGCCACTGGTCTACAGGTCAGTTCCAGGCTGGCTGAGGCAGGAGCGGGGCCTCGCAGCTTGGAGGCTGTTTCTAAAGCAAGAGCTTGGTGTGCGTAGCTGCTGCATTGTTCCTGTAATGCAGTGGCACAGACTTTCATAGCAATCTAATCTCGCCTGACTTCTTCTTTCCCCACTACCCTTTTCATACCCTTTTGAGCTATAATAGGATTACAAAGAACTCAGCCTCTGCCTTCATTATGATATTATTCTGATCGTGTGCAAAGTTGCTTAAGTAAGCAGAAATAAACATGCCACTTAAATCACATTACTGCATCCTGAAGTTGGTTGGCTTTAAGTTTTCAGTGAAATACCCATGACCAGCTTTCCCTCAACCTGGCTTGGCCATGCTGGCTGGGAATGATGGGAGTTGCACTCCAACTCATCTGGAAGGCAGCAGGCTGGGGAAGGCAGCTCAAAATGTTCTTTATGCCCATTTTGGCACCAGACAAAGACCTTTTTATTTCAATGGTATTTTAATTGTTAGTTTGTTTTTAATGACATTTTAACAATGGGGGTATGCCTTTTAATGAAATTACTAGTTCTGTCAGTGGGTGCATTTTAATTTTATATATTTTATTGATCTAATGTTTTATTGTAAATGGTGGTTATGTTTTTCTATTGCATGTATGGGTTTATTGTCATAACCTGCTCAGGTAGCTCTGTGGCAAATGAGGTGGGTTAGAAATCCATTAAATAAATAAATATTTCTTCATTAACCCCTTAATAGACTATATAGTACTTGTAAATACCAAATGGGTAGATCCTGATCCATTTGCATCTGCCAAAAGCCAACATCTTTTCAATTTAGTCACTCACTCACCATCTCAGCCTTCTAGTTTCATTCCCCGCATCTCGTATTATTAGAGTCAGAGCCAGGCTGCTGAAGCAAGCAGCTTCACATCCAACTTCAGGCATGTTACTTTCTCTCTCACCCTTACCTTAGTTGACAAGTAGCCCTACAGACAGAACCTGTATGATAACATTTATGCTCCTGGAAACTACTCTGTTTAAAGCATGGCATGCCTATCTTGCTATGGACTTCCCCGATCTTGGGCCCTCCACATGTACTGGATTCAAAGTCTGTAATCACTTTGAGCTGGTCAAGTCATTATGAATATGACAGCTATTAGCATCTCTTTTTATTTATCTCCAGGCTTACTGTGATGAATTCATTGCTGAATGGAGGAAGCTGAAGCTGGATGTTGTGCTTTGCCCTGCCTTGGGACCAGCCTTTAATCTAGGATACGCAGGCAAACTATTTGGTACCAGTTGATCATTCCATTGGTTTCTGGCTTTGTGCTCACCCTGCTCTTGCACTGTTGCAGAATGGGATGGGTTGCCTGGGTGAGAAGGAAGTGTCTTTCCTCTTCCTTTCTTCTCTGCCACTGCCCTTCTGCTCATCTTAGCTTTGGGGTTGCAGGGAGCCCCCAAACCCACAGAGTCCCCTTACTGGGGACAAGGACACTTGTAGCTGAACTCCCAAATGTCACCAAGTGTTTCCTAGACCTCCCAAAGCATGTGGTATAAACCGAGTACTCAGCAGTGTGGGAGAATATTCCTTGAGGGATTGATGTATGGAGTTGGAAACACAGGCCATCACTGTGGGGAAAACCAGTCATTGTTGCTTCCTCTCCCTCATCTTTCCTTCCAAGTCTTACAGGAGGCAAATGGTAGTTTAGACTCTATGCATTCACTCCTTGATCATTCTAAAAGTATTCTGCATGGAGACTTACTTTAAACTTTATATGAGTGAACCAGTATGAAATTAAAAACAACAAAAATGATTATTAATAGTAAACCAAAACAAGTAGGCTGGATAATCAGGGCTATCTTGTCTTAGAAATGTTGAGGAAAGAAGAGTCTTGAAGTTTGCCTTGAGGGCAAAAAATCTCCAATAGTTGCTTGTACAGAATGTGTTTGCATGCATATCCCCATGCATATTTTGGTGATAATGAAAGCACCCGAAGTAAGTAGCTTTTAAAAATGCCATTTTAGATTACTTGATAGTGCAATATGACCCATTCTTTCGGCAAAGCCCTGTCATTTCATTCATCCATTAAAATATGCTCCTCCCACCCCAAACAGAGCGTGGTTGTCCTTTCTTTACTTGGAAATCCCATGTTTCAAAGCTGCAGAGTCTTTCCCTGCTAGAGTCATGCCCCTGAAGCAAAGTTCTCAGTCCCATTACTTCAATAAAAACCATCATGGGGTACTGTATAGAGAAAGCCTTGGTTCTGCTCATCTAATGAGTTCTGCCCCATGTTTGTCATTCTGTGACTCTTCAGATTAAAATGGGCACATGTTGCATTTGTACAGGTGTGTGTTGTTTTCTAATAACATTTGCCTGTTGGTTGTCACACAAAGATTTAATATACCGAAGTCAGTAATATCATGTGCTGCACATGGTCTCTTTCAGTTGCCACAACTTATACCCATCTGTACAACGTCTTGAATTTTCCTGCTGGAGTCGTACCAGTGACTACAGTCACTCAGGCAGATGAGGAGGAGTTGAAACTTTACAAAGGACATTATGGAGACCCCTGGGATAAAAGAATGAAGGAGGTCAGTTGATAGAAACAAATGTATCTGCTGTGGATGGAAGCCTGAATGTGTTCTGCAAAACCTCTGCAGAGTTATCTTTCCTTGCAACCTCTCGAACATCGGGCATCTGAGTGGGGTGGGGTGGTTTGGTGTGCTGTACTAGCAGAGAGTCGGACCCAACAGTCTTCTAGGTCTCTTCCAACTCTACTATTCTGTGATTCTGTGATCAGTGACATTTTGTTTCATCTTGAATATGGTCCCTTTGGAGGCAAAATTGAAGTTATTTTAGGCCTAATTCCTTGGTTGCTTCTGTGCTGGGCAGGATCCTATTTATTGATAGTGAAAACTATAGTTTGGGAGTTATGTGTACAGCCTGACACCAAATGGATTTTTTCAGAGTCCCTTTGTGATAAGGCAGGGCAGTGGCATGGTAACAGGTGCATCTGGAAGAGCCGCTACTTCTTATAAGAACATTTAGGATTATAACCCTTATGTTAATATAGAAAGGGACATGATATCTGGGAAAGGGACGTGATGATTAGCATCCTTTGGGCACAATGCCTTCTACCTAGAGTTCCATTTTTTATGGACAACTGTGCAATTCAGCTCAAAGTCCAAAATACTTCAGAGTTTTGCAAACATGTGTTCAGAAGCAAAATGTCTATTCGTTTTGTAAATGTATCCTAAACATTTTCCATTATCCAGTGGAAGGCAGGTCTCTTTACTTCCCTGGTGGTCTTGAAGAGAAAATTGCAAGCAGTTCACAAAGGGGCGTGTGGGTCTGAAGTGGACTTCTGGAGAACTACGGGCTCACTCTGGCTTCTTCCCCCGTAATATCCTACCACTTTGTGTTTCTCATGCAGGCTGTGGAGGGTGCAGTGGGGCTCCCAGTGGCCGTCCAATGTGTGGCCTTGCCGTGGCAGGAGGAACTGTGCCTGCGGTTCATGAAGGAAGTAGAGACACTCTCCCGTGAGAGGAGGGGGAGGAGGAAGATCTGAGCCTCCCCGAAAGGTGTCTGCAAGGCATACCTTGTATCTGCTAATAAACACTTTTGGTTGGCAGCTTTGGCTTATTTCTGCACTTGTTTTCACGTTGCTGGGTTTACATTTTCAGCAAGAGAGACTTGGAGAGAATGGGCTAATGAGTTACAAATGGAACTTGAGGGCAATGGAGGGTTGTAACTGGAATGTGATGACTTCTTGACTTATCTACATTTCTGCAAATGGGGCAGTGCAGTGACATGATAAAAGCCTCCCTGGGAAGCATCCCAGCCTTTGAGTATGCTCAGGCCATGCTGTAGGTTGGGGTGCAGAACCAAAAAATGGGTGGGGGCCACTGACATCGCCTTCCTCACACCCATTTTGCCCTTCTCCTGCAAGAGAGGGAAAGCGTTCCATGTTTCTCTCAGCAGAGGGAAAGGGCTTCCCCTACACTGGGAACAGCAACAAGAAGACTTGGCCAGCACAGGAAGGAGAAGGTGCTCTTACTGCTGCTGGCTGAATCCATCAGCACCTACATTCCCACTGCTATAATGGATCTCAGAATGGAGATAAGAGCGGGGAGTCCTTCTGGGAGTGGGGCTTGGGGGGAAAGTCCTGCCCCCTGGAGGAATCCAAGAAAGCTCCATGGGCCACATTCCTGATGTAGACATGAAGCTTACTCCTCTTCTATTTGCATTTTGATTGAGATGCTACACATCCATATAGCCCAAAGTGCCTGACCCTGCCTAATTTTGGAAGCTAAACAGGATCAGGCCTGGTTGAAATCTGGATGAGTGACTTAATGCTGTGAACTGCCCAGGGAGCTTTGACTAAGGGCAGTATAGAAATGCAATGGGTGATGATGATGATGATGATGATGATGCAACAATGCACTACCTGGTCTTTTCCAGAATGTGATTGTCTGTCATCACCCATACAGGAAATATTAATTTCCAATATTATTAAGAATTTCTGCAGACCTTTTCAGTTTATGAAGTGCATTATAACTCTTGTGTTGGATGAACTCTGCAGAGAGCCATTTAGGGTGAAAGAATGGAGCTTGCCTAGGGCCACCCTGTGACATTCGTAGCCGAATCTGAACCTGGATTGCCCAAGTCCACATCAGCACTCCAAATTCATCAATGGCTTGCAACTGTAGAAAGCCAGGATATAACAGTCGCTTTTTCCTGCACTGTCCTTCATACCTCAATTTTTCTAACAGTGATCTTCCACTAATATCACACATCATGATCAGACACTATATTCGATTGAAAAAATATTGTTTTCACCAAAATTGGGTCCCCTCACCGTTTACATAGAGGATAATGTGGCCTGATTTAAAGATGATCAATATCCGCTCATTCATTCGTCCTTCACAGCCTTCCGCTATAGAAGCTCCAGATAAAAGCTTGCATGGGTAAGTCACGGGCAGTAAAATCCTGTGGTTGTTAAGCTGGAAGTAAATCTGATTGCATTCAGCTGAGTTTGTTTCTATAGCAGGTGGCCTGTAATTCTGCCAAACTCAACCATCAGCCAGCAATTACACAGTGCAAATCTGTGGACTGTGCTTCTTCAGTGAAAACGACATACTTATTTTTAAAAGACACTTGAAAGCGGCAACTAACCCAGAGACAGACTCTGCAACAGCCTGGCTCAGAACACATTGCTTGCTTCTGTTCCTTCTATCGTTTTGGGCCCACACCGTCCTGCTAGGGTGCGACTCTTTATTTTATTTATTGACTAGATTTACATCCCACCATTTTTCCTGCCAAGGAAGTCCAGGTGGCTTACATCATTCTCCTCCTCCTCACAAGCTTATCTTCACAACAACAATCCTGCGAGGTAGTTTGGGTGGAGATTCTGTGATTGGCTCAAAGTCACCCAGTGAACTCTGTGGCTGAGTGAGGACTGGGACCTGAATCTATTTCAGGTCCCAGTCCCACACTCTCAATCACTACACCACTCTGGCTTATGTGTGAGAAACAGATCTCACAAGTTCAATAAGGATCACTCCTAGGTAAGCATATATAGAATTGACACCTCAAGCCTTTTATGGAGTCTTTTACATGTCAGAATCCCTGGCCGCTCCCCAGCTTCACCTTCCACAGAGCAAGTTGGGTAACAGCTCTTCCTCAGCTACATAAAACAGATTCAGCAGCCGACCTGACCCCTGAACGATGGGTTGTCAGTCCAAAAAATCGCCATCTTTTCCATGGAACTTTGCCCCTATATTAGGGTTAGGGGTGTGCACCAGGGTAGGGTTAGAGTTAGAAAAATGAGGCATCCTGGCATGATTTTGATGGCTGGAATGTGTTTAGAATGGGCAGGAATGATGAACTGTGCAGAAAAAGCTACGCAAGAAAGACTTTTTCAAAATCGCCCTCTTTTCTATGGAACTTTACTGCTATATTAGGGTTAGGGGTGTACCCCAGGGTAGGGTTAGAGCAGGGGTTGGCAACCTTAAACACTCAAAGAACCATTTGGATCCATATCCCACAGAAAACACTGGGAGCCTCAAAATCCTTTAGACATCTAAAATGAAGATAACACTGCATATATTGTTTTTTATCTTTCTGCTATGTATAAAAAAACTATAGTGTGTTGCATTTATGAAATCAATGAACTGCTACAGAGAAAACAAATTTTTATTTCTGCATGCAACAAAAACATTTTGAACTCTGAAAAAAATATGCTGGGTTGAAGGCTACTTTCAAATAAAATACTCAATGTCTATTTGAGTCCTCCTTGTATTTATGAAATAAAAAGCCGAACTTTATTTTTCAGCAAAGCCTGTATGTTTATTCTGGAAATGTCTTGCAACATTTGACTTTTTGTTGTTTGCCAATTTCTCAGCCCATATTAAGCATACTGGTAAACCAGTCTCGTCAGCAGTGAAAGCAAATGAATCCGCCCATGTACCATTAAATGTTCTGTTTTCTTCTGAAACTTTTTTTTTCTTGGATTTATCCATGGTTGGCCTATTGGGGGTGAAAAAGCTCAATAAATCATGTGCCGGCCGGTGTTGCACATTGGCGTTTGTGGGTTAGAGCAATTGTGGTGAACCTATGACACGCATGCCACAGTCGCCTCAGCAGCCGAGCATCGGATAACAGCGCACATAGGGGACATTTGCATACTCGGAATGGAGTAGCGGTGCCAGGCGATGACATCACGAGCCATGACTCATTCGCTATGACACATGCAAGCTTTTGCATGGCCGTTCAGAGAGATATTTATATATATTTGCTTAGACTGGCTGTGAGTGGTTTTTTCTAAACTAAAACCCCAGTATTCAGGTTTCATTGCAGTGTTGGCACTTTGCAATAAATATATGGGTTTTGGATTTGGTTTGGGCACTTGGTCTTTAAAGGTTCGCCATCACTGGTCTAGAGTATAAGCTCATTCCCAAGGCAAAGGGATCTGAGCAACTCCTGCAATTCTTCCTGTGCTTTTGCCTTCACCTTTTGTTTCATACTATTTCTGGCACCTTTTTCTCCTTCCTGCATTTCCTCTGTCTCTCTTTCCCCTCCTGCATTTAGTTGAGACCAGCTAGAGACAAACTTTTGACATAGAAGCTGGGAAGATATTGCAGATATAAAGATATAATACTGGGCATTAAGATCTTTATTTGAGACTCTTCTTTGAATCACCTTCTCTTCAAGTATGCTGCTTGGAATATGGTGGTAAAGTTATAATGGTTGCATCTTAGGTGGTTTCTGTGAAATTGCTACGACCAGTGACACAACTGCCTACTTGTATTTTTTAAACAAGTAATGTTCCATTTTTTCTAAATCTTTTAAATGTATTTTCAAAAAGTACAATAAAAAGAAAAAAAGTACATTGGAAAGAAGGCGCCAAGGGCCATTTTAGAAATTTAGCAAGCAACTCCTCATTTAAGTACATTCATAATAAACAAAAGTCTCTTTCAATCACCATCCTATCCAATCCATTCAATTTTCAGTCAGAAATTTGTCCAGTCTATAGTTATAGATCACAGCATTGCTTTGGTATAGAAAGGTAATCATAAACATTTGTAAAAAAATATTTTCTTTAACAATTATTTGAATTGCTCATAGTAAGCTTTCCATCTTTGAGTAAATTCTTTAACTGGTCTTCTGTTGACATATTTAGTTAGCTTTGCCACTGTTGCATACTCAGTGAGCCTGTTTGTCCAGTGTTTGACAACTGAGAAATCTTCAGCTTTCCACTTTGAAGCAATTATTACTCTTGCCACTGTTGTCATATATTTGTATAAATCTGTCACAACCTTTGGAAAAGTCTATGGGAGAATAATCATATGTTCTTAGCATTCATTGGAAAGTCAATGTTAAGCATTTTCTGCATCTCAGCATGTATCTGCTCCCAAAAATCTTTTAATTCTATCACATGTCTACCACATATGGCAAAATGTTCCATCTATCTCTTTGCTTTTCTAACATTTTCCATTATAATTCTGGAAAATTATAAGTTCAATTAAAATTGATTTATCTGGAGACTTCTAATGAAAGTCCTCTAATATTTGAATTGTTTCAAGAGCTTTGTGGTTTGTTCTAGTTTTTCTTTTTTTTCTTCTTTGAGGACATTGCTATTACATTTCTTCTCATATATGCTTTACATTTCTTTTTCATGTTTCTTCAATATATCATCTTGCAATAGAAGGTTGTCATTCAGTCTCCATCTTCTAGCTCCCAGTTGCTCATCTTGTGCGATAATTTCTGAGTGGTAGTCCAAGAGTATCTTAGACTGAATCCTTATAGTCTTTAAGTATCTATCTATCTTTGAATATGCCTGATGTCCATTGAAAAAGAATGTGTAGTCCTTAGTATTTGGATTTTGAAATCTCTATGAATCTTCTGGTTGCAACATTTCTATATAGCTGAAAACATTTTTGGGAAGTTCACCCCTTTCCTTCCCTTTTAAGCTTGTCTTTCTTGAGGTCTGATACTCTATTCATATCACCACAGATCAGTATTTTACCTTCCTGAAAATCCATAACCAATTGGATTTTTTTCCATAAA